GTTTTGAAATTATGCTGCGTTTTATGCATTTACCCACTGTCATATTCATGTCATTTTCACTGTGTGCTGTATGTAAAGTGAGTGTTACCTTGGCTTTATTTGAAAAAATATGATTCCCAATGCACACAAACTTCCCAGAATACTGAGTGCTGTTGGTTAGTTTACTTCCTTTTTAATTATATTTTTATTAAATATTTATTTGTGAAAAATACTTTATCTAAAGTAGCCTATAAGTATGTTTATTTTACAAATTTATTTTTTAATCCATTTTTAAATGATTTCAAATTTCTTAAATATTAATTAAAATAAATACAATTATATCGGCCACCCTGCTTTCCAAGATATCGGCATCGGCTGTCAAAAAAACAATATCGGTCGACCACTACATAATACTCATGCAAGCATTGGCATATAAAGACATTTCCTTAAAACCAATTACTAATTCACATTTAGACTGAAAATCCCTTTCTGAACTCTTTCTCTCGGTACTGAAATCCGGGTTCCTTCAGCACACTAACTACTATGATTTAAGCCTCACTTCTTCTCGTATACTACTTAGGACAGATAGTATGTGATTTGGGATGCAGCCTCGTACCTGGGGTTGTTTTTTAGTGTGTTCACCAGGAACTCGTGCACATCAATCCCTGTGGAGTCAGTGTATTCCTGACTGGAGTCTGGAAGAGAGCGGAAAACGGAGTCAGAATCAGATGTGAACGTCTCTGTGAATTCATGAAGCAATTTACTTTTAACTTTTTATAGTGTTACAATATTTTGTTGCACTTTTTCAGCGCCGCTTGTTCCGGAAGTATTGTTCCCGTTCATTTTCCCCATAGGAATTCATAAAATGTCTTCATTAACTCTTTCACCGCCAAAGACGAGTTTTTACGGCTTTCCTTGTTTCACTGTTATACACTCGGGGGCGCTATTACGCAACTTCTGAACGAGTACAAAACCTCCCGAACGAAAACACAGGTGAACAGGATGGAGAAACTAGCAATATCTTATGTAAACAGATGCATATGAATAATAACAGCAATAGACAGCATATAAATGAAAACTGTAAAAAATGTTGATTTAGGACGTGGTATATGTCTGTGCAAGCTTTGGAGGTGAAGTGATTTACTGGATTTATGCTTTGATAATCGTACTGTATATTATCCAGATGTAGTTTTTGATAAAAATTAGATTTTCTCACCTTTTTGCTCAAAATTATGAATTTTTATGAAACCTACCTATATTCAAGAGTTGATAATAAAAGTAGAGGTTATTTTGGTGTATTGCATATTCAAATATTCATACAGCAAAATATACTGGAGGCCATCAAATTTTAGTGAAAATCATCAAAAAGGCTAGGCAGCGGCTGGCAACTTTAACAAAAAAATGCTGGCGGGGAAAGAGTTAAAGATATAAACCATGAACCAAACCAACCAACGAGCGAAAGAACTACAATCCCATGAAGCATTGCAAACGACTCAATCGAATTAAAAACGACTGAGAAATCTAAAACGACTCATTTTAAGTTATTGGTTGTATCTATAGAAGCAATATATTTAAGATTATTGCGAAATACGCACTTCTATACAAATATTTCAGTATTTTGAGAGCATTTTTGCGGTGCTCTTTTGCACACCCTACTCGCAGCGATTCACTGATTGGTGGAATTTTCTGCACAGCATCATGGGTAATGTAGTTTTTCACCACGAATTCTGCGTATTGTGTGATTACTTTAAATATACGCTGAATTAACGTGAACGAATGGGTTCAACGAAAGCATATACAATCGATTAGCTCAAAACATCTCGGTCTTTAAAGGTTTATCAATTATTGTTAATAATCAATTTCCCTATGGAGAAAATGAATGGAGTTTTTACTTCCACAACCGAATGTTGAGCTCTTTTGCACTGCATCAACAGTTTCAAAACCATAAGAAAGGAACTTGAGCGTCTTACCGCGCGAGAGCATCTTGCGTGGCGTTTTATCCTTCTTCTCCCTCTCCTCATTCTCGTACTCGTCTTTCGAGGATTTCTCCTCCTCTTTATCGGACGGACAGCTGATGTGAAGCTGAATGATGTCCTTCAAGGGCGGAGCCAGATTAAAAAACATGAATATTAATGACCGTATCCTAACAGTGGCTTCGATTGCCGTTTGCAGCGGTTACAGAATCAATTCTAGTGCGATTAGAAGTATTTTACTTGCCAAAACACATTTTGCACAGCCTACACTTCAAGCTTTCTAAATCATGAAGGTCTCTGAGTTTTGGTGAATAATCCACTATTCTTTACTGATAAAGCCACCAGCGTTTACCTGTGATTCTGGAGGACCGTCGGTCAAAAACGGTCCTGAAGATTCCTCACAAACTGCAAGACTCCTCACCAGCTTCAGCTTCGCATTCGACTGAGACAGAGAGCAGAAATGCAGGACCAAGAAAGTTCACAGATATCAACAACAACACAATCAAGATGCATTACGAGGAATAAACGAGGTGAAGTTATATTTCAGGCATATGGAACAGAAAAACAGCTGCTAGTTTTGAATACTGTCAATATGAAATCAATTCACTGCAATTTCAGTTCTTATTGAAACTTCTGCATTCGTAACCTTCCATTAAAAACGTAATAACTCTGCAGCATCTTTTCTGCTGATGCAAACGAGACTGTGACAGCGAGGAATCCTATGCTGTATTTATGTGACTAGTACAAAGGGTAATTACTAGTGGGACGCGCTCTGACAGCAAGCCTGTCAATTAAAGAATCACGATGAGAAAGTGAAATCTGAAATTGCACGATGCATTTATTTTATTCCAAAAGCACGTAAAAATACATCATCCTGAAAGCATCATTTCAGATACCCTAAATAGGAAATGGCCAGTTTTCAATCAGATTCTAGATTTTTAACAGAGAGTCCTGCATTATTTCCTGCTGAATAGTTCACTAATGTTACATTATAGACATTAATGCTTCGGAAATGTTTAATTTTGTTTGTAAGGGACGGTTAAATGTGATCTGAGCGTGTGTGTGTGTGCGTGTGTGTGCTTGTGCGTGCGTGTGTATGTGTGCATATGTGTGTGTGAATGTGTGCGTGTGTGAGTGTGAATGTGTGTGTGTGTATATGTGCGTGTGAGTGTGTGCGTGTGTGAGTGCGTGCGTGTGTATGTGTGCATATGTGCGTGTGAGTGTGTGTGAATGTGTGCGTGTGAGTGTGTGTGCATATGTGCGTGAGTGTGTGTGAATGTGTGCGTGTGTGAGTGCGTGCGTGTGTATGTGTGCGTATGTGTGCATATGTGCGTGTGAGTGTGTGCGTGTGTGAGTGAGTGTGAATGTGTGCGTGTGTGAGTGTGAATGTGTGTGCGTGTGTATGTGTGTGTATGTGTGCACGAAAGAGAGTGTGTATGTGTGTGTGTGTGAGAGAGAGAGAGAGAGAGAGAGAGAGAGTGTGTGCATGCGTGCGTGCATGTGTGTGTGCATGTGTGTGCGCGTTTGTAGAACATCTGGTAAGGACAATCATCACACTTGGCAGGTTTGCCAACTAGTGCAAAGGCAACAGAACTGAGCGAGAGGTCGACAGGAAGAGAGTCTCGCTTTTGTCTCCGCATTCATTTAAAGGACTGGTCTGGTTTCATATGCATCTAGAAATGTATCCTAAATACACCTTCCAATATTTGAATTATGTTAACAAACCATAAATGAAACGCTACACATGGAAAATTTAACATACAGCTTCAAAATGCTTTTTTTTTGAGACTTTGAAGACTTCGAGACTTGTCATGAACCCTTTAACCGAAGTCCTCTAATTAATGCATTGAGCACCTGTTTTATTTAATAAATTTTTTAATATCCGTGTTATTTATTTATTTATTTTAATTGCATACAATTGAGATGTTAATTATGATTTTTGCATTGAAAGTATTATGCTTTGGATAAAATTGCCTGCTAAATGCACAAATGTAAATTAAATGTGACCAGGACATGTTTTCAAGAGATTCACTCAAAACAAACTGATTGCACACAAGAAGAAATAACTAAATATACTGTAGAAACATATATTGTACAGCTGCTTTGCAATGATTTGTGTCGTGAAAAGCGCTATACAAATAAACTTGAATTGAATTGAAAGAAAGAGAAAGTCTCAGAATGAGCGCGAGAGAAAGACAGTGAAGGACTTCTTGTGATGCTGCGCTGTGGTTTTATAGAGAGAGTGTGAGTGTGTGCGTGTGTGAGAGAGAGTGTGTGTGCGTGTGTGTGCGAGAGTGTGTGTGTGTGCGTGTGTGTGAGAGAGAGTGTGTGCGAGAGAGTGAGTGTGTGTGTGAGAGAGAGTGTGTGTGTGCGTGTGTGTGCGTGTGTGTGTGAGAGTGTGTGTGTGTGAGAGTGTGAGTGTGTGAGAGAGAGTGTGTGTGTGTGCGTGTGTGTGAGTGTGTGCGTGTGTGCGAGAGAGTGTGAGTGTGTGCGTGTGTGTGCGAGAGAGTGAGTGTGTGTGCGAGAGAGTGTGTGTGTGAGAGTGAGTGTGTGTGTGAGAGTGTGTGTGTGTGTGTGTGGGTGTGAGTGTGTGAGTGAGAGAGAGAGAGTGTGAGAGTGAGAGTGTGTGAGTGAGTGAGTGTTACCTGGACAGGCGTAGCAGCAGCCGTCTCTGCTCCTGACAGGCGTGTGACACAGAACCGGAGGACACGCTTCAGAATCACACAACACTCTTGAGTGTGTGTGCGAGAGAGTGAGTGTGTGCGCGAGAGAGTGAGTGTGTGTGCGAGAGTGTGTGTGTGAGAGTGTGAGTGTGCGTGTGTGAGAGAGAGTGTGAGTGCGTGTGTGAGAGAGTGTGAGTGCGTGTGTGAGAGAGAGTGTGAGTGTGCGAGTGTGTGAGAGAGAGTGTGTGTGCGTGTGAGTGTGTGCGTGTGTGTGCGAGAGTGTGAGTGTGTGCGTGTGTGTGCGAGAGAGTGAGTGTGTGTGCGAGAGAGTGAGTGTGTGTGCGAGAGAGTGTGTGTGTGTGAGAGAGAGTGTGAGTGCGTGTGA